TGGCCTGGCTAGATACTTTGTGACTGAGGATGCAAATGAATCAAACACTTATCGATGTGAGCTTTGTGGCAAGATCTTCAGTGATGCCTACTGTAGATCCAGACACATGAGAGCCAAGCATGAGAACGTCACGTATGCCTGTGCATGTGGGAAGGTGTACAAATATCAGTGTTCTCTACGTCATCATGAAAAGATTTGCCCGTCAGCAAGTAAGGTGGTCAAGGCGAGTCCTTGATGGTTGAGACACAGATTAGGATTTGTACCAGAATGTGCGTCTGAAGGAGCATTCGGGACAGATGTCTTCCTGGTAGAACTTGTCATTGATGTTTCTGGAACCGTTGCTGAACCTCAGTTCCTGTGAAGGTCCAGACGCACTGGTTGTTGTGAAACCGAGACGTATTTCTTGTGTCAGAGATGTCTTCATGGTAGAATTGGTCATAGATGTTTCTAGAGCCGTTGCTGCCCTACATGGCTCCCAGTTCCTGTGAAGGTCCAGACGCACTGGTTGTTGTTAAACCCAGACATATTTCTTGTGTCAGAGATGTTTTCATGGTAGAATTGGTCATAGATGTTTCTAGAGCCGTTGCTGCCCTACATGGCTCCCAGTTCCTGTGAAGGTCCAGACACACTGATTATTGTTAAACCGAGACATATTTCTTGTGTCAGGGTCAGAGATGTCTTCATGCTAGAACTTGTCATTGATGTTCTGGAGCCATTGCTGCACCACATACATCCTGTGAAGGTCCAGACACACAGATTTTGGTGAAACTGAGACGTACCCATTGTGTGTCATTAGGGTTATCCTGAACTGTTACTGATATATATGATATAAGGTATTTGTTAACTGCCAAACAAAATGTGTGTTAACGTGTAGCGAACTTGCCAGGATGACCAGTTGGATAGAGTCTGGTTCTGTTTTACATCTTCATGACTTTCAACAAGAACAGGCTACCCTGGATTATGAATATTGGAAGTGATGTATGTGTTATTGACATTTTTGTGTATGAATTGTGGTTGGTTGGTTGGTTGGTTTATTAACGCACTGGTCTGTAAATAACTGAGTCTGTACAAACCAGTGATCAACAGCATGAGCATCGATCTACGTAATCGGGAACCGATGACATGTGTCAACCAAGTCCGCGAGCCTGACCACCCGATCACGTTAGTCGCCTCTTATGATGAATTGTGGAACAACCCTTAATACTTTGAACATTTAGTCCTGGTTTCCTTCAAAATTTGACACTTCAGTGTCTGGTCTTGGCTGTTGATCAGTGTGAGACATAGTTCAATGTTATACAAAACTCTGGATTACCACCAAGTTGTTCTGATGATAGGAAGAACATGGACAATGATTTGCATCATCATACAGCAGGTATCTGTTTTGTAGTAGATTTTTAGAGTTAATAAATAATAGAAGTTTTAATAAAGCCCACTTTGTTGATAGTTAGGGTGGTGGGATAGCCCAGTGGTTAGATGTGTCCGCTCTTCACGCCAAAGATCCGTGTTTTATTCCCCACATGGATACAAACTGTGAAGCCCATTTCTGTTGTCCCCTGCCATGATATTGCTGGAATATTGCTAAAAGCGGCTTACAACCATGCTCACTCACTCACTCACTCACTCACTCACAGTTGATAGTCCTGCCAAGAAAACACCATACAATCTGATCATCTGTGACAAGGCCTTGGGACTACAATGGTGGTACCTGCTGTAAATAATACAATAACTCTCTTCTCTAATAGTGTATCTCTGTTGAATAAGAAAGTAACCTGATGGATAAGTGATTGGGTCTACATAATCAATGTGTCATTCCGGTTATATAATGTCGGAATGACCTTATAAATCTGTTTGAAAGTACACTTAGGTCTCATTGATGGCCATGGGAAATGTTACCATTGTCTTAAAAGCCAGGTCTTTGATTTAGTGGTTCAGGTTTTGAATACCATGAGTGTTTATGCTGGAGATGACAGCACTCATATCTTCAATCTGGGAGGTAAACCATATATGCATGATTACAAACAGGCTACCTTACCACCAATATTTACACATGAATCTTGAGCCCATATGCTTTAATGTTTTGACCAGTGCATGAAAGATTATCTATCAGCTTTGTCAATGATGCTAAAAAGTGCAGTTATGGATTACTTTGATATATTTCAGCTAGTTGCATACATCATATCAACTCTTGCTTTGAAGCCTCCTCAGCTATTTCTCTTAAATAGAGGAAAATACAAACGGAAACACATGAATCTTGACCTTTGACCTTGACCTTTTGTTTCTTTCAGGTAAAGGAAGACCTGAAGGTCATGGTCACAACTCTGTTGAAGGTCGTGACAGGGAGGGACTGTACTTTAGTAGAATGCTTGAGCAGTCTTCAGCATTAAACTTAAGCTTCAGTCCTCTATTGTATAAATTCGGTGACAGTCAGTCTCAGCAAGATAGAGCACTTTTCCCGTGCGATGAATGTGGCAAAGTTTTCAGACGTGCACATTCCAGGAAGCAGCACAAGGAAGCCATTCACGACAAGGTTACATATTGTTGTGTCTGTGGGAAAGTGTACACGTTTCCTCAAGCTCTGCTGAGACATCAGAAATGCTGTAGCTTGTGTTCAGTAACATCAGCTGTGTGAGGAGAATGATACAGACCATGACTGGTTGATGGTAATTCAAAGCGGAACCATTCATCAGGTACATGACCACGTGTTATAGCATAGATATGAGGAGGCTTTGAATATGTTACGTCACCTATGTGAGGAAAATGATACAAAACATGTTTGTGTGATAGCAACTAGGGGTGTCACGATACACCAATCTCACGATACGAGACGTATCACGATTTTAAGGTCACGATACGGTACGTATCGCGATACATAATTTTCGCGCCTTTTCATAGCATTACCTTACCGGCAACGTACGCGCTCGCTGATTGGTCCATCAAAATAGTCTAGCCAATCACAAAAGCTGTTAGTTTCCAACCTATTTTTTAAGTAAAGCTAGCTACATCTATTTATCGGAGTGGTCTCGTATAATTTTACTATCAAGACTTTGACGGAGATGGATATAGCATTAAAAAAATTGAATCGATAAAGTTTTAAAATAGGAATCGATACACGCAAGCATCTATCGCGTATCGTCAGTAAAAATGTATCGATACATCGATACATTCGCGTATTGCGACACCCCCTAATAGCAACTGGAAGCTGATTAACAGCTGTATTTCATGCACATGCCCAAGTATTGTAGCATATACACAAAGAACTTAATTAAGCACCCCCTGTATTTTTGCAATGATAGGTTTTCAACATGTGCATAAAACATGAACATAAAACATTGTACCCATGTGGGGAATCAAATCTAGGTCTTCACTATTGCTGTTGAATATGAGGAGTAACTGAGTGGGATTGGATGGTCACTACAGCTGTTGAATATGAGGAGTAACTGATTGGGACTGGATGATCACTACAGCTGTTGAATACAAGGAGTAACTGATGGGGAATAGATCATCACAATAGCTGTTGAATACAAGGAGTAACTTATGGGGATTGGATGGTCACTATAGCTGTTGAATATGATGAGTAACTGTTGGGGAATAGATCATCACAATAGCTGTTGAATACAAGGAGTAACTGTTGGGGATTGGATGGTCACTATAGCTGTTGAATATGAGTAGATACTGATGGGGATTGGATGGTCACTATAGCTGTTGAATATGAGTAGAAATAGATGATCACTATAGCTGTTAAATATAAGAAGTAACGGGGATTGGATGGTTACCATAGCTGTTGAATATGAGTAGTAGCTGATGGGGATTGGATGATCACAATAGCTGTTGAATATTAGTAGTAGCTAATGGGGATTGGATGGTCATCATATCTTTAGTATTGTTGCTCACAGTTTTGACCACTGAGTTGACTTTTCCAGAAGAATAATTTTACAAGGGATAAAGATCATTAAGTTCCGAGACATCATATCCACTCACTCACTCTATATATCAGTAAGTTAATCGTGTGACAAACTTCCTTCCATGTGAAAGTCTGTAATGCATTTGTTTATCAAGGATCAATTTGACTGAAATAGAATCAATATTTTGTTGCTTTCAGGCTTTCAAGGTGATTCATCAGGTTTCGTCCCATCTATAGCAGGACCACTTGCTCCAAGCAAACCTTCAGGATCAGCAAATATTTGGCAATCTTTTGGAGATACTGGGTTTCCTTTGGTTTTGGGTACGGGGAATAAAAGGACCAGACACGCATCTGCTGATGTTAAGGTTCTGTATTCCTGTGATGTTTGTGGGAAAACGTTCACGGAAGCTCGTGGAGTAAAACGACACAGAGAGGCAAACCATGAAAACTTCACCTACCCCTGTGTTTGTGGGAGAATGTATAAATACTTAGGTGCTCTTCAGAGACATCAGAAGGCTTGTAGTGTGTTTCAGCCGAATACCACTTGATGTTTACAGTTCACCTGTGTTTGTGGGAGAATGTATAAATACTTAGGTGCTCTTCAGAGACATCAGAAGGCTTGTAGTGTGTTTCAGCCGAATACTACTTGACGTTTACAGTTCACCTGTGTTTGTGGGAGAATGTATAAATACTTAGGTGCTCTTCAGAGACATCAGAAGGCTTGTAGTGTGTTTCAGCCGAATACTACTTGACGTTAACAGTTCACCTCACCTGTGTTTGTGGGAGAATGTATAAATACTTAGGTGCTCTTCAGAGGCATTAGAAGGCTTGTAGTCGTGTTTCAACCGAATACTACTTGACGTTTACAGTTCACCTACTCTTGTGTTTGTGGGAGAATTTATCCATATTATGTGTACCAAAGACAACAGAAGGCTTGTAGTGTGTTTCAACCGAATACTACCCGACATTTACAATAAGCCTACTCTTGTGTTTGTGGGAGAATGTATCAGTATTGGGTGCACCAGAGGCATTAAAGGCTTGTAGTCTTGTTTCAACCGAATACTACTTGACGTTTACAGTTCACCTACTCTTGTGTTTGTGGGAGAATTTATCCATATGATGTGTACCAAAGACAACAGAAGGCTTGTAGTGTGTTTCAACCGAATACTACCCGACATTTACAATAAGCCTACTCATGTGTTTGTGGGAGAATGTGTTTGTGGGAGAATTTATCATTTACAATAATCCTACTCTTGTGTTTGTGGGAGAATGTATCAGTATTGGGTGTACCAAAGACAACAGAAAGCTTGTAGTTTGTTTCCACCGAATACTACCCGACATTTACAATAATCCTACTCATGTGTTTATGGGAGAATGTATCAGTATTGGGTGTACCAAAGACAACAGAAGACTTGTAGTTTGTTTCAACCGAATACTACCCGACATTTACAATAAACCTACTTATGTGTTTGTGGGAGAATGTATCAATATTGGGTGCACCAAAGACAACAGAAGACTTGTAGTTTGTTTCAGCCGAATACTACCTGACGTTTACAGTTCACCTGTGTTTGTGACACAATGGATCAATATTGGGTGCACCAGGGGCATTGAAGGCTTGTCCGTTTGAACCAAATTATACACTCAACCACCCCTGTGTTGGTTTGAGAATATGTAAATACTTAGATGCTCAGAGGCATGACCAACCAAACAACTAACAACTGAGGTACCATTGTCACATATTCTACTCAAAGAGTGTTTGTAGATCTCTTCAGCTGTAATATAATATCATACCTTGCTGTGACTTTGTGTTACGTTTTTTCAGGAAATATTTTGCTCTGAACATCCATCTCGATGATTATTGATTATTTACAGACCCCTGTTTTGAATTTCTTGTCAATGAATCAGGATGATCAACTCACTGGAAACTTCCTTTATACATTAATAGATTCAGTTTAGAGCTAAATAACAAAATTATAGTGTAAACATTCCCTCTGGAATATGGTAGCCTTATTCCTGTGGTTCCACAGATACAGACCGAAATATTTCAGTATCAATATTTAGTCATGAATGAGTGCTGTCGACTTTATGAGTTTTTGAATTGCTTATCACTGCAACAGTTGTCTGTAAATAATTACTGGACAGCCAGTCCACCAACTGACGTAATGAACCAAGTCGGCGAGTCTGACCACAAAACCTGTTGTTCGCTTCTTAAGACAACACATGGGTTGCTGAAATACAACTTACAGATAATATACACTGTGTCTGGTTGTTTGATTGTTTATCCCAACTCTTGCAATCAGGTAGTAAGTTTCCAGTCATCTCTTGATGGATATTTATTGATAACTGTCATTAGAACCATTTATGTAAGGCTGATGGATAATGTATGAAAGGCTGACATCAGTGAAATCATGCTAGGAACACATAAGCCAGTTACAATGTATGGTACTGTTTGAAAAGTATTCAAGCAAGGAGACATTGAATTATCCATCACACTGTATACTCTGACATTTGTTCCCGGTCCCAGTGAGTGTTGGATTATACAGCTTCCACTGTATGTTAAGGGGCGGTGGGGTAGCCTAGTGGGTAAAGCGTTGGCTCGTCACGCCGAAGGCCCGGGTTCGATTCCCCACATGGGTAAAATGTGTGAAGCCCATTTCTGGTGTCCCCCCGCCGTGATATTGCTGGAACATTGCTAAAAGCGGCGTAAAATCAAACTCACTCACTCACTCACTCCACTGTATGTTTACACTTACCGATCTTGGTTTTAATCCATTTAGTAGCACGGTGATGGTTCTTGCATCTTTGATCAAGCCTTGCCTGAGAAAAAAGACTGAAATTGACCTGAACTTTTTCCTACTTTCAGGTTATGGAAGTTCAGGGGATTTCAGTCAGTCTCAGGCAGGCATTGGTATGGACAGACAGTTTGTGGAAGTAAGCCGAGGACCTTCAGTTCACCACCCACAGGAACCACCTGGTATCATTGCCATGCTCCTCAATCCCAGCTCCAACTCCATCCTCCATGAATACACTGCCCCAGCTGCTTCTGCAGAAAGACCAGAAGGAGTGAAGTGTCCGGAGTGTCACAAGATGTTCACTGCCCAGAGCTCCATGATGGACCATAAGAAGGCTGTGCACGACAACGTGGCAAATATCTGTGTCTGTGGCAAGAGCTACAAGTACAAGCCGGGTCTGAGACGTCATAAGGTCACTTGTCCACTTGTCCAAGGTCAGATACATGGGTGATGTATTCAGGATGAGCATTTCCCAAGGTCAAGGATCCCAGAGCTTTGTATATGGTGGACAATATCCTGGACAGAGACTGATGCCCCAGATTAACTCATTTCCAAAGAATTGTTTTTGTGTTGTGTCCAAAATGGAGGTGGATCATATTCAGGACAGAAACCGTAGCCCGAGAATAACCAATGTCCAGATTTATTTTCGTGTGTTCAAGTTGGTGATCTCGCATGTTACAAACTCTATGTACAAACGTAATGGATGACATGGACCTATCTTATATGTAGTGTGGGAAGTACATGGGTGATGTAATCAGGATGAGCATCCTCCAAGGTCAAGGATCCCAGAGCTTTCAGACATTTTCTCATTTGTTTATGGTAGACAATATCCCGAAAAGAAACTGATGCACAAGATTAGCTAATTACTGAAGACTTTTTTGGTGTTCAGTCCAAGATGGAGGTGGACAATCTCCAGCACAAAAACTAATGCCCCAGAATTTAATTTCCAAAGACTTTTTCTATTTTGTGTTGAAGATGGTGATCTCACATGTCACGAACTCTGTTTACAAACGTTACCGATGAACAGGACTGTTCCTTATATCCAGTGTAGGAAAGTAGGTTCGCTGAAGTAATGGCTCCAGGCAATGAGTAGAAGCAGGATCAGTTGTAATTTCACTTCATTTCTGCTTCAGTTGTGGAAGGACTGGATGTATGTGCAGTGATCAAAGAAGGAACTGCTTTAGAAGTGTGACCTTTGTTCAAACACACCTTCTTAGTTAAACAGTGGTGTGACTCCAGATTGGAATGTTTTGAGTTGCAGATGCAAATTACTGTTGAAAATGTTAGTAGTTGTTTTGAGAAAACCTCAATATACATGAGCATCTTTGAACTTTGTCATGCCAGAAATGGCATGAGATGAGGCGTTGGACAGTTGGACATTTGATATTTTCAGAAAGGCAAATATTACTGAGGTAACAGTCTGTTTGGCAGTTTGATAGCTTTTGGGTGGTAAAAAGACAGCTGTTACATTACATACTCATTCCCATTTGAGGTAGTCGGACATTAATTACTCAAGATCAAGATCCCATCAAGAAGCAGTCAGACTTTAATGGTTCCTCCTGGAGACAGATCCAACACTGACTGGTGGGTAAGCCTAATTAGAGGTGTTCTCAAGGGTTCTTTAGTCAGTGACCATGCATCCATGTAACTGTGCATGTATCCAGCTGGACGTTGGTTGATAGAGTTCATGATGCCAGTGGTCCCTTAATGAAACAAGAACAAACTTTTCGTGTTTTCAGGTCACCAAGTCTCAGTCAGTGTTGGTGAGTCTGCCAGATGGGGGGAGTCCATTACAAGACAGGCTTACTTTGCTAGTCCACAGTCCGACCTCGGAGTTGGTCATTCGCCTTTCCATGACATCCATAAGATGATAAGTCAAGCCACTCATGCTCAGTCGGGATTAGGGGACAGAAGTGGACCTCCTCTACCTCCTGCTATAAACTGCCCAATATGCTTGAAGATGTTCACCACAAAGAGAGCCATGCTGGTTCACAAGGTCGCAGTGCATGACAAGCAGACGTATTTCTGTGTTTGTGGTAAACAGTACAGGTATGGTCCCGGACTGCTCAGACATCATCAGACGTGTGAATTGTGGAAACAGATGTCGTCTAGCGACGGTGGACAAAATGTGCCATCAGAATGATGTCATGACAGTATTTTGGTGTGATGTGTTTTGCCTGGTGTCATCAAAAGTGTTCTGGAAAGAAGTTTTTAGTGTAAGATGATGAATCAAATATACAATATGAAGGTATGTGTTCCTTGACTGCCATGTCCAAAACTGGTGGGTTTTCCTGATAAACCTGATTTGGATCTCATCATTCAAACGCTGATACTGTCAACACCAGTTTTGTTACATTGATCAAGCTAGTAGCAACTAAAATACTTATGTGAAATGGCAAGAAAATAGTTTTTGAAGAGGTAGATTAGTCAGCCTCTTCAGAACTGAAGCAGTTTCTTTGAAATTTAATGACTCAATAGGCAGTTGTTGGTCTTATAAAATTCAAGGGAAGGTCTTCATATGACATAAGGGTTGATTTGCACAGAGGGATCCTTATCACTGTGTCACTTTACTTCTCTCAGACAATACCCATGTTAATGATACCAGGATCCACTAATCCTTGGAATGAATCCCAAAGTTGCTTTTGAGCTGTAGGGATTAGAAGTTTGATTTATGATAAAAACCATAATTTTTAATTTACTAGATACATTCAACTGCCACTACAAACTTGATTATGAAAATTTTGACATTTTCAAAGAGATTCTTTTAGAAAGAAAATACCCATCGCATCACCTAGTTTTATCACCGCAACAGTATAACAGAAGTTGTGAACCAACAGATATACAGTGAGGAAGGTTTGCTTCTAGATTCTTGTAATTCGAACTGATGGACATTCAGGCTGATATTGATGATATATTTTCAGACCAAAGTCATAATAATTTGAATTTTGTTATGTTGACTATGAACTGTAAAGACACGGTATAGTTTATTCCATTTTGTTATGTTGACTATGAACTGTAAAGACACAGTATAGTTTATTCCTTTTTAAGGAGAACTTTTATTTCTAATGATCAGGCGGAGAATGATACTCAAGCAGTGGCAATGTAGCAATCTGGGCCTACATTTTTTAGCGCTAAGCTCTCTTAGAGCTAAGATAGTCGTAAGTTAATGTTAATGTATGGCACTTATGACTATCTTAGCGCTAAGAGAGCTTCGAAAAATCTAGGCCCAGGATCTGAAGTCACCAGCCAGATATAGGTTGTGTGTTCTCTTAGCGCTAAGATAGTCGTCAGTTAATGTTAATGTATGGCACTTACGACTATCTTAGCGCTAAGAGAGCGAAAAATCTAGGCCCAGGTTCTGAAGTCACCAGCCAGATATAGGTTGTGTGTTCTCTTAGCTCTAAGATAGTCGTAAGTTAATGTTAATGTATGGCACTTACGACTATCTTAGCGCTAAGAGAGCTTCGAAAATCTAGGCCCAGGATCTGAAGTCACCAGCCAGATATAGGTTGTGTGAGCTAAGATATTCGTAAGTTA